CCCCAACTGTCCTGCCTGGATACGCCCACGACTGTCCGGCTGCCCATTCCAACCTCCCTCCCAAAGTCCCTTGCACCTCGCCCTGCGCCCTCCTCGCCCGCGCTGTCCTTGCCGTCCCGCGCTCCCATTCCCTGCGCCCACCCGCGTCCACGCACGCCCCTGCCTGTTCCCCTCTGTGTCCCTGCCTTCTCCCCTCCGTGTCCCTGTCGCCCCATCACTTGTCCTGCCTCCCCTACTGTTCCCTGTCCATCGCTTAGCACTTTCCCGCCCATCCCGGCACTGTCACCTCTCGCCCCGTCCTGCCTGACCACTGTCCCTTACCTGTCCCCACTTGTCCTGCCTGTACCCCACTGTCCTCCTGCCCTGTCCCTCCAACCGCCCTGCCATCCCCCCATGCCGCCCTGCCACCCCACCACCCTTGCCCACCCATCCCCGAGGGATGTCCCTGCCATTCCCCCACTAGTCTGTCCATCCCTGCCTTGGGAGGTGCTGTCACCTGTTGGAGCCGTGGGAAGCACCCCCCCCGCCGCTGCCCAGGGTCTCTAGTTCCTGTTGCTGGTGCAGCGAGGGCCACAGCACCCACCCCCGCAGCTGGCTTGGGTTCAGCTGACCCCGTGCCCCCACCTTTCTGTTCGACCTGAGCCTGTACCCCCATCCCTGGCCCTGCATGACCATAAACTCCTTGAGGGGAGGAACTGAGTGAGTCCTGCCCCCACTGAGTTCCTCTTGCCCCTCCTCCTCATTTTGGGGCGGAGGGAACTGTCATCTGTCCCCTGGGGGCGGCAGATGGCTGCTTAGCTTAGAAAGGAAAACAGCACAATTTAGAATTAGTCCTGGGTGAAAGGTCGAGGCAGCATCTGCCTCCCGCTGCTTTCTGGAGTCGCATTTCTATGGAGCGGGCCTGGCAGGGAGGGTGGGAGCGGCACAGTGGAAATACTGAGGCGGGAACCAAGCAGAGGCGGTGGCGGTGGAGGTGGTGGTGGTGGCACAGCAGGTGCCGGGGCCACTTGGCACCCTCCCCCCGCAGCCCTCCTGGAGCCCCCGCCCGCCGCTTACCTGCGGGGGCCCAGACAGGACAGGTTAGCCCTGCACTGCCAGGCCACTGAGTGTGGGGGATGGGACAGGCAGGTACCAGGTGACCCTAAGAGGGAGGCACAGAAGAGGAGTCTGTGGGGGCACACCTGGCGTGGGCTGGGTCTCCGCCGTGGGGGCCCGAGAGCTGGGTGGCTTGGTGGACAGGGCAGCTGTCTCATCCAGTCGAGGGAGACTGGCGTTACCTATCTCAAGCCCCACTTTTTAGCCCCAGAGGGGTCTCCCCACCGCCCCTGACAGGAGGAGATAAGGGGACGGTGGAGGGTGGGGTGCGGGTCACTCATGGAAGTGCTGAGGATCCCCGTGGGCGAGGCGGCTGTTGGGTGCCACCTTACTCGGCCAAGCCCTGGCACCCGACTCGCGGCTCACACTGGCCCGCCCGCCGGGACAGCATTGAAGACAGAGTGGCCTGGGTACTGGGGGTGTGGCCAGTGCCAGGGCCGTGAGGGGTTCGGTCACAGGCTGGTGGTCCTGGCCATGGCCAAGCTGCTGGCCTGAGGTCCCTCCCACCTTCTCAGGGACGTCTGGGTGCTGTGTGGAGGGCAGGTGTCAGGTGTCTGTAGGCGCTCCAGCTCTGTGGCCAGGTGGGAGAGAGGTGCAGACCGGCGGGGGGCACAGGCTGGAGGCTGCCCACAGCAGCAGCAGGAGACTGTGCCCAAAGCTGCCCCCCACACCTGGCTCAGAACGTTCTCCAGGCTCGGCCGGTTCCCCGCCCCTAGCACATCCCGTAGCACCTCCAGGCCGCGGCTGTGGGGCCGGGGCGGGGGCCTTCCCTGTGGTGTCCGGTGCCCAGGCTGGGAGTGGGGGCGGACAATGGGCCCTCTCAGCCTGCATTCCCCCACGGGAGCCTCCTCAGGCCTCCGGCTGGGGCTCCTGCCCCACCCGCTGGGAGCAGCTGCCGCCACGTCCGACACCTGCTCCCAGCTGCCCTTTGTCCGAGCACCGACGCCTGATTTATGGGGCGTGTTTTCCTCTTGCTGGCCCGCTGTGATACAGCCTCGTTAACTGGGATGCGTTTGGTTGGGCAGATTCTCCCACAGTCCTCCACGTTGGGTGGGGAGTGGGGCCTGGTGTCCGGGCAGAGCGTCGTGGTCCATCTGGGGACAACCTATGTCCGGTGACCTCAGGGCACTTGGCGGGAGACTGCTCTAGGGGCTTGGACCACCACTGTGTCCCCCTGGGGTCCCCCCTGGGCAGCTCATGTGGAGTCCCCTAAAGCTGTGGGGTGGGCCTCCCCTGCCCCCCTCCCCGTCTTGCCCAGCAGGTGAGCTTTTCCCGCTCCTTGGAGCCTGGAGGGCCCGGGAGGCAGGGGACCGGCTTGCATGGGCCAGGCTGAGGAAGCTCCAGCCCCTGCTTTGATGGCCCAGCGCCCTGTGTCCTGCACCCACCCCCTGCCGACTTCGTCAGTGGCTGGGAAAGAAAAAAGGGCCTTTTCTCCAAGCGGGAGCTGTGGCCAACTCCTGCCTGACAATGGAGCATTTATGTGGAGGGAGGGCCCCTCCTGAGGCCACAGCCCAGCCCAGCCTGTGGGCTCCACGGGTTCCCAGCGGCAGCTCTGCCTCGGGGACCAGCCAGCCTGTAACTGGATCTGAGTGCAGTGGGAACCACGCCTGCCCTCCCCACAGGTGCCCAGAGAGGCAGGTCTGTCGCTGCAGCCCCGGAGTGACCGGCCACACAGGATGGGGGAGGGGGAGCTTCATTCCAGGGCTGTGCCCGTCACTCACTGGGCTGGTGGGAGCCGTAGCAAGGGCCGAGTGAACTCCCCAGAGCCCCTTCGGAGGGGGTGACATGTGTTTTCTTTAAGCCAGTTGGTTTGGGACTTTTGGCTTCTGGCAACAGATGGTCGGCCAAAGTGGCCCTTTTGCGTTCTCTCTACCCAAGCCGTGGCCACGGGTAAAAGCCTTCAGGGAAGACAGATGTCTCCCGGGCCTTTGGGACAGGGGCGTGGCTGGCTGCTGAGAAACGCACAGGAACCGCGCCCCCAGCCTCCACAAGCCCCTCAGGGTAAGGCCCCCCCAGGCCACTGTCACACATATCACAGGTTTGATTGGAGACACTGGGGTGGGAATAAGCGGGAGAAGAAGCAAGGACTTGGGGGGCCGGTGGGGGTCCCGTGCGAAGCTGGCAGCTTCAGGGCCGGTCCTGGGGCAGGTGGCCGCCACAGCCTCCCACCCAGGTAGGCTCTGGAAGGCAGGACGGTTCCCCCTGTACATCCCATCTAGAGGAGGCCACGCCCACCCGGGGCCTGAGCCATGGGGCTGCTGCCTTCCCAGGCCGCTGAGGCTGCTGGGGGCTGGTGGCATGTTCTGCTTCAGAGGCTTCACTACTGGGAAGAGCGGCGCCCGGCGGGTCCCAGACCTTCCCCCGAAGCGTAAGGCCAGGAGGTGACTGGGGCCAGAGATTTATGACCACAGCAGGAGGCTGAGGGGGGCAGGCTCTGCGCCCGTCACCACAGGGAACAGGTGAGACCAGGCCTGGGCGGAGATGCAGGACCGCTCCCCTGGCTCCCCTTGTTCTGTCTGAGCCTGGACTGTGTGTCCAGGGTGAGGAGGGGCCTTTCGCCCACCCTGATGGGGCTGCAGAGACCTGGCAGAGGGGCGTCCTCCTGGCACCTTGGTTTCCCCGGCTGTAATGTGGGTGCTTCTGCTCCCGGCTGATGTGCCTGGATGTGTGTTATGAAGACTCGATGTGGAAAGAGAAACGTGTCCAGGTGCTGAGCATGGGCAGGGAATGGGCTGACCTGCATCCCCAGTGTGGTCTCAGCGTTAGGTGTCCCATCAGAAAGGCTTCTTGGCCGGGTGCGGTGGCTCATCCCTGTAATCTCAGCACTTTGGGAGGCCGAGGCGGGCGGATCATAAGGTCAAGACATCAAGAGCATCCTGACCAACATGGAGAAACCCCGTCTCTACTAAAAATACAAAAATTAACTGGGCGTGGCCGGGCGCGGTGGCTCAAACCTGTAATCCCAGCACTTCGGGAGGCCGAGACAGGCGGATCACGAGGTCAGGAGATCGAGACCATCCTGGCTAACATGGTGAAACCCCGTCTCTACTAAAAAATACAAAAAACTAGCCGGGCGAGGTGGCGGGCGCCTGTAGTCCCAGCTACTCGGGAGGCTGAGGCAGGAGAATCGCGGGAACCCGGGAGGCAGAGCTTGCAGTGAGCCGAGATCACACCACTGCACTCCAGCCTGGGCAACAGAGCGAGATTCCGTCTCAAAAAAAAAAAAAAAAAAAAAAAGAGGCTTCCACGTAGGAAGGGGCACGGGAAGGTGATCCATGCTTTCCACAGCTGCCGTCATGTTGACACCTGAAGGTTGGAAAAACCACGACCTTCGTTACTGCCCAAGCAATGCCTGTTCGCTGTAGCAAAGCCGGAAAGAAAAGCAGATAGGCCTGCAGACCCGGAGGCCCTACGGAGCTGACGTGCATGGCTTCTCTCCATGGCTCTCTGCGGGTGTAGACCCAGACCCCTGCCTGGGCTGTGGAGTCCAAGCTGGGTCCTGCTGGAACATCCTAGTCTCTAGCTTGTTCCCCCAGTTAGCAGTCGTTTTTCTTTCTCTCTCTCTCTTTTTTTTTTTTTTTTTTTGAGTCTTGCTCTGTTGCCCAGGCTGGAGTGCAGTGGCGTGATTTCGGCTGGCTACAACCTCTGCCTCCCGGATTCAAGCGATTCTCCTGCCTCAGCCTCATTTAGTGACACTCAGTACATTCCCAAAGTTGTGCAATCACGGCATCTGTCTAGTTCCAGAGCATTTCGTCAGCCCTAAGGGAGCCCTGCTAAGCAGCCATCTCGCCCGTGCCCAGGGTGTGGGGGGAGGCAGCTGTGCCCATGACAGGTGCCCGGTACTGACTGGTGGGGGCGCTGGGGAAGCAGGTGGGAACTAACTGCCCTGGCACATCTGCCAACAGCTGTGGCGGGGCCTTCGTGGGCCCGCGATGCCAGGACCCCAACCCGTGCCTCAGCACCCCCTGCAAGAACGCCGGGACATGCCACGTGGTGGACCGCGGAGGCATGGCAGACTACGCCTGCAGCTGTCCCCTGGGCTTCTCTGGGCCCCTCTGCCTCACGCCCCTGGACAACGCTTGCCTCACCAACCCCTGCCGTAATGGGGGCACCTGCGACCTGCTCACGCTCACGGAGTACAAGTGCCGCTGCCCGCCCGGCTGGTCAGGTGAGGGAGGACCCACAGCCCGAGGGGTGGGCAGACCCAGGCCCGCCACCAGCTGCCCATGCAACTCGAGGTACTTGGCGGGATCCAGGCCTGGGTCTGTGACCCGGAAGTAATTGGGAGCCCCTGACCCAGGGTCCCCGCCCTGCTCCTAGCCCCGGAGTCACCTCGTTTTCAGCAGCTTGCTCTGGCCCAACCCTTGCTGTCCCTGCTTCTGCGAGACAAGGGGAGCCTCTGTGTCCAGGCCGCCCCTGCCCCCTTCCTCCTGCCATGCACTGACCCTCACCTGTTAGGGTGAAGGGTGTCTGGAGGTGTCAGCTCTGGGAGGAGACGGCCCGGGCTCAGGCCTCTTGGGACCTGTGGTCCTTCATCTACCAAAGGTGACCGGTCTCACAGCAGGTCCTGAGGATCAAATGTGATAGCACCTAGGCTGGCACTTCCAGGGGGCCTGAACGGAGGGAAGGCCTGGCCTCGGGGAGCAGTGAGGCCAGCACAACCCTCTTGTCCCCTTGTCCCCAGGGAAATCATGCCAGCAGGCTGACCCCTGCGCCTCCAACCCCTGTGCCAACGGTGGCCAGTGCCTGCCCTTCGAGGCCTCCTACATCTGCCACTGCCCACCCAGCTTCCACGGCCCCACCTGCCGGCAGGATGTCAACGAGTGCGGCCAGAACCCGGGGCTCTGCCGCCATGGAGGCACCTGCCACAACGAGGTCGGCTCCTACCGCTGCGTCTGCCGCGCCACCCACACCGGGCCCAACTGCGAGCGGCCCTACGTGCCCTGCAGCCCCTCGCCCTGCCAGAACGGGGGCACCTGCCGCCCCACGGGTGACGTCACCCACGAGTGCGCCTGCCTGCCAGGTAGTGCTACCCGCCGGCCGGGGTGCACAAGCCCCTCCCCGGCTGCCAGGCCCGAGGGGCGGGGACGGGGGCACCTGGTGTAGGGGGAGCCCTGGGAGGGCCCATGGCGGGGAGTTGGGAAGGCAGGGTGGCGAGTTCCCCAGACTGCAAGTGGTGGTGTGGCAGGGGTGGCGCGTCTGGAGCGGGGTGTGCGCTGGGAAGGGACTTGCACAGGGTCTGGGTGCCAGCCTGTGTCTTTTGAGTTCCTTGGAGCTCACATTCGAGCTGTAGGACGCCCTGCCTCCCCCCAGTGCAGGCACCCTGACTTGCGCAACCCCTGGGGTTTCCCCTGCAGTGGGGCTGGGGCTGGAGAGGGTGTGGGAGCTGCGGGTTGCACTATCACTTCCCTGAACCGTGGCCCTTCCTGCTGTCCTGCTGGTCTCCTGTGGGTGGGGGTGACAGGTAGGCACAACCCCCTGCCCGTGCCTCCAGCGGCTCCCCGATCCCTGTGTTGTATGTAGGAGTCTCTCTGCTGTAGTTCTTGTTTGAGTAAATTTTGCAGCAGCTCTAGAAATAAGGAAGAGTTTGAAAAGTTTGAAAACCTCCAGTCTTGGCCAGGCACGGTGGCTCACACCTGTAATCCCAGCACTTTGGGAGGCCGAGGCAGGCGGATCACGAGGTCAGGAGATCCAGACCATCCTGGCTAACACAGTGAAACCCCGTCTCTACTAAAAATACAAAAGAAAAAAAAAATTAGCCGGGTGTGTTGGCACGTACCTGTAGTCCCAGCTACTCGGGAGGCTGAGGCAGGAGAATCGCTCGAATCCGGGAGGCAGAGCTTGCAGTGAGCGAAGACCGCGCCACTGCACTCCATGCACTCCAGTCTGGGCGACAGAGCAAGACTTTGTCTCAAAAAAAAAAAAAAAAGAAAAGAAAAAAGGAAACCTCCAGTCTCAGCTGCACAGAATGGCTGTTAGGTGGGAATGGGGAGAGGGCCTTCAGGCAGGGGTGGGGCTGGGGGGTGCACAGGGTCCTGGCTGACCCACGGGTGACCCAAGGGCTGCTCCACCCCCTTGGAAGCCCCAGGCTGGCCTGGCCTCTGCAAAGGGGAAGCTCCCTGGCTGCCCAGTCAGCTGAGCCCAGCCAACTGCGTGCAGACACCAGACGTGTGCGTTTCCTGCAAGTCACTGGGCGAGCGTGGGGTGGGGACAGGCGCTCCCTGGCCGGCTTGGATCTCTGCAGGGTGGGGCGCAGAGTCCTTCTGCTGATGGGGGCTCAGATGCCTTCCTAGCAGCCATGGGACCCTAGCTGCAGTCACATGGGTTGAGGGGCCGAGCTCTCGGGGGGCTGTGGTTCAGGCTAGGGCAGGTGGGGTGTGTGCAGCCTTGTCCAAGGCCACCTGTGTGCAGAGCTGACACCCTCCCACCTTGGGCAGGGTGGGTGAGAACCTCCCGGTGAGGCCCAGCAGCAGGGTGCTGGGCCTGCTCAGAGCCACTGCCTGTGCAGGGGCAGCTCAGGGCCCTGGGGAGTGGGCAGGGAGGGAAGGGGAGGGGCTGGCGGGGTTTACTTACTTGAGAGTGGGCAGATCTCAGAGGCTGGGGGCTGGGCCACCCCTTCGGTGAGGGCTGTGCTCACTGCCTGCTGTGGGGTCTGGCCGTTTCAGGATGAGATAACCATCCAGGGGGCCTCCGCAAATGACTCAGGCCTGCCAGACCCCAGCTTCACGCTCTCCCAGGTGGCTCCTGCACCCAGGCCCCCTGAGGGGCCCTCAGCCGCCTCTGGTGGTCAGGGAGCCCAGGAGACCGCTGTGTGTGGAGTCACGGGGAACAGAGACGCGGGCAGCCCTGAGCTCTGCAGGCCGGGAAGCTGGCTGGGATTTGGAGTCGCACAGCCTGTCTGGCATGTCAGCACTGTCTCCTCTTAGGGTCACTGGCTGAGGCTGCGTTGCAGAGGGGCCAGCTGGGGTCCACGGGGCTCTCACTGGCTTCCCCGCCCTCTTTCCCACCTGTGTTCCTCAGCCAGCACTGTGCAGGGCAGGCCCGGGGTCGCAGGCCCAACCAGGGGCCCCACCTACCTAAGAGCCGGGCTGCAGGGTCCCACACATGAGTGGGGACCGGGACTCAGGCTCCAGGCTCTGATTTTTTTTTTTTTTTTTTTTGAGACAGGGTCTGTGTCACTCAGGCTGGAGTATAGTGACGCACCCTCAGCTCACTGCAGCCTTGACCTCCCAGGCTAAAACGATCCTCCTGCCTCAGTCCCTCAAGTAGCTGAGACCACAGGCGCGCGCCACCATGCTTTGCTGCTTTTTGTACTTTTTTTGTAGAGACAGGGTTTCGCCATGTTGTCCCGGCTGGTCTTGAACGCCTGGGCGCAAGCGGTCGGGCCGCTTCAGCCTCCCAAAGTGCTGGGATTCCAGGCGGGAGCCACCGCGCCGGGGCTGGGCTCTGATTTCGGGTGCTCCCCAAGCCGTTTTGCATTTTGGATTTTGGTTGTCTCTGGCCGCCTGCCTTTGCTCCGGTCCAGTGGACGGACGGGGACGGGCAGGGTGGTGGCGGTGGCGCAATGTCTCAGAGGGAGGGGCCGAGCAGGTGGGAGCTCCAAGGGCAAGGGGGGTTCAAAGGCATCTCGGGAGGGCAGCAATTAGTAACCGGCTGCAGGTTTGGCTGTTGCCGAACGCGCCTTTCTGGGTTGATGATTGAACCAGCGGGAGTTGAGTGGATTAATAGCTAACTGGCTGCCCTGGAGGCCTGGGTGGGGCCACGCCTCGGGGGAGGGGGCCCCGGCAGCTTGTGGAGAAGGTGGAGGAGGAGGTGGGCACCAGAGCTCTGCCAAGGAAGGATGGGCCATCTGAGTCTCTGCAGCGTCCCCAGGGCTGCCGGGGCCCAGCCTGCCCCAACCAGCAGCCTCCCGGCCCCATGTCCCCTGCTGCTCAGAGCCCAGGCCCCAGTGTCAGCCCCCAAAGATGGGGTACATGGCCCCCCTACTGAGACATTGTAGGGAGCTCTGAGCATGCAGGCGGCACCCAGGTGCGGGAGCTGCCGGAAACTCCAAGAGACACAAGGGTTTTTGTGACAGAGTCTGGAACCCTGTGTTCCTGAGTCCCTGTTTAGCCAGCCCTGTCCAAAATGATTCTTTAGAGCAGGGCATGTCCCTCTGGGCACTGGAGTGAGGCAGGGGACAGGCACAGATCCCAGGGGCCCCAGGGCAGGGCCGTGGAGGCCAGGCAATTGTGTCCAGAGCAGCGTGTTGGGGGTCCAGGCAGGAGCCGGCTTGGATCTCAGGGAAGAGGCTGACCCAGCACCTCTTGTGGCAGGCTTCACCGGCCAGAACTGCGAGGAAAATATCGACGATTGTCCAGGAAACAACTGCAAGAATGGGGGCGCCTGTGTGGACGGCGTGAACACCTACAACTGCCGCTGCCCGCCAGAGTGGACAGGCGCGTACACGGGCGGCCGCAGGGCGGGGCAGCTGGGGCAGGGCTACTACCCACTTACTGAACTGCACTCACGGGCAGAGTGCGGAGCAGCCAAGACCCTGTCCCAGGCCAGGCAGGCTGGGGTTGGCCGAGAAGGACAACATGATGCGGGGCCCCACTCCCTGTGGCCAGGGTCTGACACCCCTCACCTCGGGGGTCAGCACAGACAGGGCCCTGGTTGGTCTGTGTGGGCCGTTTGCAACCTGGCCCCAGGCAGTCCCTGTGCCCAGTGGGGTGTCCTGGCATTGAGGGCCGTCAGCACCCCACTCAGGCCACGCTTCCTGGGCCAGTCACAGTGATGCCCAGAAGAACAGACAGGCTCTGCGCTCGGGAATTACCCTCTGGTGGGGTGATAGGCGCAGGGGCACCTTGACGCAGCCATGTCCACCCCGACGCAGCCATGTCCACAGAGCACAAAGAGGAGGCAAGACTCCCCCATGGTGCTGGGCGTGCAGAGGAAGGAATGATTGAGGCTGGCGGTGGGTGGAGGAGTCAGACCAGGAAGGCTTCCTGGAGGGGGTGGCATTGCAGCACTGCATCTTAAGGGACAAGGAACTCAGGGAGTGGCAGCTGCCCGGGGCCGACAGCTCATGTTCCCTGCAGGTCAGTACTGTACCGAGGACGTGGACGAGTGCCAGCTGATGCCAAATGCCTGCCAGAATGGCGGGACCTGCCACAACACCCACGGTGGCTACAACTGCGTGTGTGTCAACGGCTGGACCGGTGAGGACTGCAGCGAGAACATCGATGACTGCGCCAGCGCCGCCTGCTTCCACGGCGCCACCTGCCATGACCGCGTGGCCTCCTTCTACTGCGAGTGTCCCCACGGCCGCACAGGTGAGTGCCCTGAGGCCCAGGTGGGCGCGGTGGGGGCTCACATGGGCCAGGCCTGACCTGTGTGACCTCACCCAGGGACTATGGCCCTCCTGTGCCCAGGATAACCTGAAAGGGCCTTTCTGGTCAGGGAGGCCGGTGGTGGCCATGAGTCTCCCTGAGTGTCACGGGACCCTCGATGGGGTCATGGCGGGCAGCTCCTCCTGGGGCGCCAGTGGGGATGGACCCCAGTCGTGGTGCGCCATGGCTGGCCCAGGGGCCGTGCCTGCTGACCGCCGCTGCCTGTGCAGGTCTGCTGTGTCACCTCAATGATGCGTGTATCAGTAACCCCTGCAATGAGGGCTCCAACTGTGACACCAACCCTGTCAACGGCAAGGCCATCTGCACCTGCCCCTCGGGGTACACGGGTCCGGCCTGCAGCCAGGACGTGGACGAGTGCTCGCTGGGTAGGTGCTGGCACAGGGGGTGCGTCTGGGTGGGGGTAGCAGCCTGGCCCCAGAGCCGGTGGGAAGTCGTTTCTGGCTTCAGGGGGTGCTCGGTTGGATGGGGGATGGGACCCTGCCAGTCCGACGTGGGGGGGTGTGCGGCGAGGTGTTGCAGGGGCCAGAGTGCCTGGAGAAGCCTCTCACCCGTGTGCCCTTGCCAGGTGCCAACCCCTGCGAGCACGCGGGCAAGTGCATCAACACGCTGGGCTCCTTCGAGTGCCAGTGCCTGCAGGGCTACACGGGCCCCCGCTGTGAGATCGACGTCAACGAGTGTGTCTCGAACCCGTGCCAGAACGACGCCACCTGCCTGGACCAGATCGGGGAGTTCCAGTGCATCTGCATGCCCGGTGCGCCCGCCGGGGCCAGGGCGGGAAACTGAGTCGAGGCTGGGCAGCCTTGGAGGGGCAGCCCCGGGAGCATCTGTGGGCCGCTTCCCCTTCCCCAGCCTCTGTGCCTTCTGGGCCCACAGCCTGCACAGGGCATGGGGAAACTGAGGCCAGGCCACAGGGCCAGCAGAGCATGGGGCAGTGCTAGGTAGATGAGGGTGCCGGGCTGGGGGCTGCAGGGAGGCAGGTGCGCAGAAGGTCCTTGGTGGCTGGGATACTGGGCTCAAGGCAGGGGTTGTGTCCATCCCGAGTCCCCAGCTGTGCCCAGTGGGGCACTGGGGCTGCGCGTGCCCCCCTCACTGTTCCCCCACCCCACAGGCTACGAGGGTGTGCACTGCGAGGTCAACACGGATGAGTGCGCCAGCAGCCCCTGCCTGCACAATGGCCGTTGCCTGGACAAGATCAATGAGTTCCAGTGCGAGTGCCCCACGGGTGAGGGCCGCCCCCGCCCCCTGCCCCTGGGCCGTCTGCACCCCGGCCTCCTGAGGGGTTGTCTGCACCCCAGCCTCCTGAGGGATCGTCTGCACCCCGGCCTCCTGAGGGGTCGTCTGCACCCCGGCCTCCTGAGGGGCCGTCTGCACCCCGGCCTCCTGAGGGGTACCTGGCTGTGGGTTGTGTCCCCTGCCCCTGGGCCGTCTGCACCCCGGCCTCCTGAGGGGTACCTGGCTGTGGGTTGTGTCCCCTGCCCCTGGGCCGTCTGCACCCCGGCCTCCTGAGGGGCCGTCTGCACCCCGGCCTCCTGAGGGGCCGTCTGCACCCCGGCCTCCTGCGGGGTTGCAGGACACGGGCCCCCAATTCAGGAGGCCGGGGTCTGCAGACGACGCCCAATCGGAAGCCCGGGTGCAGACGATCCCCTCAGGAGGCCTGGGTGCAAGACAACCCCTGGGAATCGCAACACCTCAGGAGGCCGG